GCGGCTGCCATTATGCAAATGAAGCATGGGATATTTAAATCCCCGCTTCATTTGCACTTTCAATGTGTCTTATTCACATCCCTCTGCCAACAGAGCGGTGTAGTTTAGACACACCCTAAGAGAGTGATTGGTGGAAGTAGCAAGATGCAGCACAGGTCTAGGTTTGTGTGTAGGCAGCCAGCAACTCTGAAATTCTACTCATGGCTCCAGTATTGCCTTTCTGGGTATCCTTTCAGAAATCACAAAAAGCTTCCCGTTCTTGAAGGTGTATGAAGCGAGGCATCCACAAATCTAGACACACCAAAGTAACAACAGTTTTGACAATTTGAGCCTTATGTTCTACTTCAGTGGCTCCATCTGTAAATTGGCATATTACTTGAGGGGTTACTTAGGGTGGGTTTTTCTATTTTAAAAATATTTCACTGGGTTTAGGCAAAGGTTTTCCTACATAATCTTTGTTGGAAGAACCTCTAAGGGTTTAACAAGAACTGTTTGCTCCATGCATAAATAACTTCTTTAAGGTAAAGGTAGGTCTTATCTAGGTCTTAGTAAAATATGTAACTTTTCATATGGATTTTTTTTTAATTACTGTTTTAAAGATTTACACTCCCATCCCTTCTTAATCATTTTAGGTAATTCCTAATAATGCTAACAGCAGATGTTAAACAAAATTTCCTGAGTAGGAATGTACAAATAAACCCTTTGAGTGTTCTGCTTGCTGCATATACTGTTGTTTACATGCTATCAGAGCAAAGCAGACCCACATTTCATTAACCTCGTGTAGCCTAAATAATAATGTATATCCTCACTGTATTTTGTGTTGTTTAGGAAATAACAAAACATGTTCTACAGATTCTGGTGGCTTTTGTGGCTACTAGGACAGCATATGTTTTTGGCACAACATCTCAATGAAGACAAAAGAAATGGAATAAGAAGACAAAAATCTAAGCCTCTTCTGTCAAATGCTATAGAAAAATATCCCAGTCCAAGAGATCAAGGTGAATTTTTACACTTTTTTAATGCTTATTCAAATTCTGGACTGTATAGCTAACTTGCACTTAAAACAATATATTTACAATCTGCAGAGTTAGTCCCACTTACAATTTCATCTACCATATTTTTACACTTAGATTTATAGTTTATTTGTGGTGGTGGGAAAAGAGCTTAAAAGAACAAGATGGAAGGATGCTTCTTTTACATTCTTAATACTTTTGGCTGTCAGTCATGGTATTGTCAGTAAATGAAGAGTGGCAGATACACATTTATTCAAAATTAATTTTCCTAGGTTGTCAGAAAATTAATACTAGCTAAATTGCAGTGTTAGGCCCTGAGCCTGCAAATGTTTGTGTATGCACTTAGGTTTATACACCTGTGTACAGTATAGGACACTAAATGAAGTATTCTAAAGAGTCTAGTGTTCCACCTATCAGAAATGCAATTCTATAATTATGTGTATTAATTATTTGTGTTACAGTATCCTCTAGAGGTTGGGGGCCAAATTATGCTAGGTGCAGTGTGCGCACACATAGCGAAAGACATAAAAAATAACAAATAGTCTTGCAGCACCTACAAGGCTAACAAAAAATGTAGATGGTATCATGATCTTTTGTGGGCATAACTCACTTCTTCAGATGAATGGAGTTAAGAGGTCCAGTTTCCAAATAAATAGCAGAGAAATAGACGGCATGGGGGGGAAGAGGAGGGAAAAAATATTGTCAATTAGAATGTCTACTTGCCAATTAGAGAATCTACTCAGCAACTCCAAATTCTACAGGCTTCTCTCCCCTGATCTCACTAAAGCATACACACACACACACACACACACACACACACACACACACACACACACACACACACAAAATCTGCTCATGAAACTTCCTGCTACACAAATACACCCCCAAATCTCTGACCAGGAGTTTCCAATCTGCTACCCAAGATACACAAACCTGGAGATCCAGGACAACCCATCATTTCAAGCATTGGCACTCTTAAAGGATTATGTGATTATATTGACTCTCTCCTCAGACCCTATGCTACCAGCACTCCTATCTATCTTCAAGACACCACCGACTTTCCGAGGAAACTACAGAACATCAGTAATCTTCCTGAAAACACCATCCTGGTCACCATAGATGAAGAAGTTCTTTACACTAACATTCCACATGATGATGGATTAGTGGCTGTCAGAAACACTATCCCTGATGATGCCACAGCACACCTGATTACTGAGCTCTGTGACTTTGTCCTCACTCATAACTGTTTCCAATTTAGAGACCATTTATAACTTCAAGTCAGCAGCACAGTTATGGGCTCCTGCATGGCTCCACAATATGCCAACATCTTTACGGTTGACCTTGAACAACATTTCCTCAACTCCTTCCCCCTAGCACCTCTACTCTACTTATGCCTCATTGATGACATATTCATCATATGGACCCACGAGAAGAAGACCCTTAAATTCCATAAGGATTTCAAAAATTCCCACCATCAATCTTAGCCTGGACCAGTCCTCACAAGAGATCCATTTCCTTGACACTACAGTGCAATTATAACAGCCACCTTATACTGGAAACCTCCTGACCATTACATTTACCTACATGCCTCTAGCTTCCATCCCAGACACATTTCCCAATCAACTTTACAGCCAGGCCCTAAGATACAACCAGATTTGCTCCAGTCCCACAAAGACAAACACCTACAGGATCTATATATAACATTCTTAAAACTGAAATAAGAACATCAGAACATAAGAACGGCCGTACTGGGTCAGACCAAAGGTCCATCTAGCCCAGTATCCTGTCTGCTGACAGTGGCCAGCACCAGGTGCCCCAGAGAGGGTGGACTGAAGACCATGATCAAGCGATTTGTCTCCTGCCATCCCTCTCCAGCCTCTGACAAACAGAGGCCAGGGACACCAATTCTATCCCCTGGCTAAGAGCCTTTTATGGACCTAACCTCCATGAAATTATCTAGCTTCTCTTTAAACTCTGTCTACCCAGAGAAGTGAAAAAAGAGATTGACAGAGCCAGATGAGTACCCAGATATCAGCTTCTTCAAGATGGGCCCTACAAAGAAAACAACAGAACACCACTCGTCATCACCTACTGCCCGCAACATAAACCCCGCCAGCGCATTAACAACAATCTACAACCTATCCTGGAAAGTGACTCCTGACTCTCACAGGCCTCGGGGGACAGGCCAGTCCTTGCCAACAGACAACTCTCTAACCTCGAACAAATTTTTTCCAGTAATCATGCAGCTCACCTCCATCATGCTCACCTAGGAAGCCACCCCTAACTCTGGTGCCAACTATGGATGTTAAGTATCGGGTAATTGACTAATCGAATAGTCGATGCATTTTTGCATCCACTGTTGGATTAGTCAATAGGGCACCTCCACCTTTGAAGAGTAGCAACAGCCCAAGGACGAAAAAGGTAAAAGTGCCAAAGCCGAAGCCAGCGGGGGCACTTCCCCCACTGACCCCGGGCTCTGTGTGGCGCTGCCACTTTGAAGTACCACCCACTTCTCCCCCCCAGCCCTTGCTGCCTCTATCTCCTGGGGGAGTGGGAGGGGGAGTGATTAATCGACTATCCTGTCAACTATCCGATAAGCATTTGCTTATCGGATAGTTGACTAGTCCTTCACATCCCTAGTGCCAACTCTGTCCACACATCTAGACAAGCAACACCATCATAGGACCCAACCACATAAACCACCACATCAGAGGCTCATATAACTGCACATCCAATAATGTGATCTGTGCCAGCAATGCCCCTCTGTCATGTATATTGGCCAAACTGGACAGTGCTTACGAAAAAGGATTAATGGGCACAAATCAGATATTCGAAAAAGTAACAGAGAAACCTGTTGAGGAACATTTTAACTTGCCCGGGAACTCATTAATGGATCTCACAGTTACCATGTTATTGCAAGCCAATTTAAAAAAACAGCTTGTCGGAAGCTACAGAACTTGATTTCATTTACAAGTTTGATACCTGCAGCAGTGTTCTAAACCAGGGCTACTCAACTTTGGAAGCCCCACGGGCCACAATGATACTCACAGCATATGCTGAGGACCTCAACTTAAGTGTGGTTGCATATAGGTGCAAATAATATATGTGAATAGCTTCTTTCATACTGAAGGGCATGAATACAAAGATTAAGGTGAGACTACACAACACGCAGGCCCCATTTAAGTCAGTTCTGCTGATATTAATAAAATGCAATATTTACCCAATTTCCAACCATATGCCAGCACTTTTAATGAGCAATGACAGTCCAGGAATTTAACTACTAAAAGGAATATCACAATGGTCTTCTGTTATTGACTCCTTTTTTGTTTTGACTCCCACAGGCGGGCCACATGTTGAGCCCTGCATAAACCCAAACTGCACTGCGAGCCGCAAACACATGGGCCGCAGGCTGCATGTGGCCTGCGGGCCCTGTGTTGAGTAGCCCTGGTCTAAACAAAGAGGTTGTCTGGATGGCCACATCCTAATGACATTCCACATCCTAATGACATAAAAAACCAACCACCAGGTACTTAAGAGCACTTAGTACCCACTCTATCAGCTTCATTTAGCATGGACACTCTGACAGTATTTTTTCTCCTTTTTTCTCCTTCTTTTTCCTTCTCCCTTTCCCCCTTCCCCCCTAACCCCCTACCCTCTCTTTCTTTGTATTTATTTGGAAACTGAACCTCCTAACTCCATTCATCTGAAGAAGTGTGCTGTGCCCACGAAAGCTCATGATACCATCTACATTTTGTTAGCCTCTTAGGTGCTGCAAGTAGGGGTGCTAGGTGTCCGGTATTGTACTGGACAGTCCAGTATTTGCACACTGTCAGGTAAAAAAAAATCAGAAAATACCGGACATGTG